AATACTGAACAGACTGACTGATTCCGCAGGAATTCGGAATGAGATCAAGACCGTGCATGCTCTGATAAACCCCAGGTACGAGGACCGCACACTCGGCTGTACCAAAGAAATAACGTCCAAAGATTACGGAACGTACATTCACCGGGCAGTAGACGAACAATTGATCGGATCGTCACTAATGTCAACTATCCGTGTGTACACATTTATTTGTTCAAGACTCGTTTNCTATTGATTTGAGTCTTCTAGATTTCTCAGTAACTGTAGCGCGGGAGCGACATACTACTACTCGTGTCACAGTGGGTCCCGCATGCTGACCATGACAGCATCATAAGCCGTAGAATAGGCATCAAACACCAAATTTCAGGACGGGTAAATGGAAAAAAACGAATCCTTCACCATGTGAAATCGACGCTGAGTTCAAAAGCAGGATGCATAGAAATAACGACCTCAAAAAGCGAATATCACGACCACTAACTAGTTGAACGAGAAGATTTTAATCGTACTTTATATGGAACAATGATAGGTAGCACTGCATGCATCACATACCAAATGTTCCACGTTAAAAGTAGTGGTACACCTGGTTGTCTCATTCCGTTTCCAGGTGACAATAGACCCCTACGGACTAGTCGCTCGCCTTGGCTTACCAGCACACGCGACAACGAATCGAAGAAGCGTATTGAATGAAATAAGGCCCCGAACGCCTTGGATTATCACGGAAATCAACGGTCAAACCTTGAATCTCTTCAGCAGGANAAACGAGGTGAGCTAAACTACCACCAGTCGTACAATGTGATGCGAGTTAACAACGTGAATAATAAGCTAGTGGATTACGCAACTTTTAAATCTAGTGATAAAACTGTTTATCAGCTTTCCATATTGGAACATTCATCACCAAAATATAGTTTCATAACTAGACTGAAGATAGGACACATTTGTCAGCACATCCCGAAGGACTGATCACATTCAAATCCAGCGCTCGTTTATGGCAACCATGGAGCCATTTAGCTAATGAAAAATTTTCGTTAAACCCTGAACACAGTTAAAACTGGCGGGTAAGTGGCAATTGGTGAAACAGCCAAGTCCGGGGAACATTCTAAATGAGAGCACTCGACGAATCACGGTAATTAATAAATACGCAATAGAAACGACCACATTGTGCACAGGGAGCAACGGCTGGATGACGGGGGAAGGAGTATGGGAAAGAATAACTCAGTTGATCTGTATCATTACTTATGAACGAACAGCATGATAGAGACATTATGTATTGACTGGTCAGGTAATAGCGTCAGTGCTTCCCATACACAATCTTACAAATCTACGCGGTGGCATTAGCTGCTGTCTGCAGACTACCCAAAAGAATAGAGAAAACTCCACTTCTCCAGGCCGTAACAAAGTGAAGGTAGAGAATCCAGGAAGACTACCATGGAAATGAAATTCAATAGACGCATGAGCATCACCGGTTGGCACTCGGCAACCTCACTCTCTAACAATGATTAGGCTGATAACGTAGTTGAACATTAAAAGCAGAAGAGGAAGCTGGGTTTGATGGAGGCAACTTACAAATTAGCGAGACGGTTTCATCAACCTTAAGCGAAAAATCATTGGCCATCACCATATTTAGAAAGGAATGTCGTAACGAGTGCTCAGACCCCTGCGGTGAGTTTGAATCTAGCCAAGTGTTTTCCATCTGACGCGCTAAGGAGAGGTCAAATCTGTGAGCAACGTGCAGTTTATCGATCTCATCGACCGTATTTCAACCTACCGACAGTCGCTCCACTTTCATGTCAGCTACCAACGACATCAGTCCAGTGGATAGCAAGTCTGAAATAACACCACTCGATCGGATCTTGCCCACTTCTAATTTCGAAACTGATGAACAGCAATGGACTGTGATTGGCTCTCGTGCCCAGGCAGTTGTGCAACGAACGATGCCAGCACAGAGGAAAATACATTTGGTGTCTACTCCATTTATGACTAGAATTGACTGGAAACAGAAGAAACACGGCCAAGACGAGGTAGACTGTCTTGCTGTCGTGATACCCTCCGATTGAGTGTCAGAGACACGTAAATTGACTGATTGTGGTTCGATATCCGTTTAACTACAGTGCACTCAGGAAAGATGAATAACGAAAGTGCCACGGTAGAAACGGTGAATTTTTATCAGAACGATTTACCGCTTTGGGTAATGGTGGAGCAGGTTTGTCACTGCCACCGGCGTGCTTTGGATCTGATGGTCGGGGGTTCGAATCCTGAAAACGGCACGCAACTTGGCTGTTGACCGGTTCAATATCACGCCTATTTTAGCGGGAACTTACGTAGTTCGCTACCGCAAGTTTATATAGTGTTTCCATTACTGAATAGTAAGATAGAAAAAGAGTTGCACATGTTCAGCGGTGTTTCACAGCACTGGAAAAATCTGAAGGCGAGCTCTGACGAACCGCATGAAGAGATTTGACCGGAGGCGATAGACTTTCGGACTAGAGTTCGAAATCTTGATCCGACTGATTGTAGACCGGGATGAGGCAGTAAAACGACGACAATGGCGTTTTTGGGTCGTTTTGCTTCATTCCAATTGTCTAAATAATTGACGAGTACCATGGATTCCGTCTCAATCACAACGCCTATTAGTGCCGTCACCAAACTAAATCACCAACGTTTCAATTGATATACTCTCGAGAGCAATTATGATAAGTTTTTTATTGTAACTTGACACATTTTATCTTTACTTCTCTTTCTTGTTTTTACAAGGCCTCGATTTTGCTAAACGCTTACGGAAAGGAAATTACCGTGGTTGTCCAACCGGCAGAATTGATCGCCCAGATCACGACGAGACTTAAAAAATCCCGATCGTATGAAAAGTATGTACCTCGATAAGCAACCATTCTAGGGATGATTTTAAGCTACTCTAGTTATATCCAATTATCTTCCGATGCAATACAACAATATATGGAATGATATTGATACCTGAGACTTCTTCTGGGTATGTGCCACCTATTCAATAAGTTTGTTCTCAGAGTCCATACGGCAATGAGATCTCATCAGATCTATTGGTTTAATGGGAATAATACGAACGTTGGTGTGTGTGGAAGTAGTTCCATTTTCCGCATAATTTATAAATAACGGAAAAACACGCGAAGCCTCACTGCGAATCAATTTCTACTGCACACGGCTGTCCGCATAAACGCAGATACACAAACATGCAGATTAGGGATGCCTGCGATCGCAGTGGACTGATCGCGTTAGCTTTTTTCATTTCGACGGGTCGGTCGACGAATAGGATGAGAGGGCACGTTCTGGTAGGCCGATAACTGTTCAGAAATCGCAAGCAGTATGAGGGGGGGGGCCAGTGCCGACCACCTGAGCGGTTAGAGACACGGCTGTGTGAGTGATCTGCGGGCGGATGAGATGGGTGACTGTATCGGAAAGATATGGCGGAGACGAAGAATGTACAAGGGAAGAAATGTTTGTGTGTATATATAAGGTTATTCATCAGTTAGATCTAGATAGAAACAATCGAAGGTAAAAAAGAAGAATTTGAAACACCCCCAGTAGATAAGTACAGAGGACGGCGCAACTGGACGATGCTCGAAAGGGCAACCATAAGGCTAAGGCGTGTCCGAAAGAGAGGGTGATTGCATTGATCCATTTGGTTTGTTACACCGTTGGTTGCTGAGACTTTGGAACAAGTCAGAGTGTACAAGTTGAAATTCTGAGTCCTCGGCCAGATGCCAGTGAACGCACCGTGACGAACGGAATGGAATACGACGGTGGGAGCAAGGAGGCGATCGCCGATTGTGCTGCATAGGTTCACTGTGAATTGAAACGTACACAGTAATGTTAGTATGAGCAGAATGTGGGAATAACTGACGACAGACAAAATAGCTACAAAAGGAAATACATAAGATCATTTCCTCATACGGCGAAACACTTTAAAACTGTCATTTGACTAAAGCACAGGTAATTACAGTCGATTGTACTAGCACCACTGCTTATTATGTATGGAGTTTATAGTTCTAGGTAAAAATAAGTTCATCGCTGATTGATCATGCGCCTTTTTGGATTGGATGGAAATTCCGTGATACGAAGCACTTTGCATATCAGGATGTAAGTAGGAAACATTTTCATAGGATTATCAACCGTTAGCGACCACGATGTCGGACTCAGTCGCAGAAACGGTGAAAGATTCAAGCGCAAATAGAAAGAGAATCATTACGCCCAATATATACCAAAAATCTACACGATTGGGAAGACAAAGAAACGCAGCTATATCTTAGTAAATGGATAATCATTCATTTGAGTTTTCACTCCGTATTGACCATTAATATCACACACCATCTACGGAATTCAGTTCGCAACGACAACCGATGCATGGTGCCTGTCAGCAAAATGAGTAACAATGCAACTGACAGACATAGACATCTGCCGAAATAAGTGAGCTCGAACTCGAGCTATTGGAGAAATTTGGGGAAAATGTGGTATAGTTCGCTGACTTTAGACCTAATATTGTTCTCACGAAACCAAGATCCAGGGTAACCAACTGATGGTAGTGACAAACATGCAATTAACGCAGAGCCGATCTCGACTCCCACATAATAGTATGTATGATCATGTGTGGCGTACACAATACACCGGTAACTCACTGAAATACTAAGTGACATTAGGCCTGTAGAGCGGAACAACCTACACTGCCAAATACAGCCGAAACATTGGGTTCGACGTTGTGAGCAGCGTTCTTCAGTTTGCGTATTTCTTTTGTCGCCCATACTGCTAGGTTCTTGGTGCGAAGAGTCTTTGACCGCCGGCCTCTCTGAAGAACGGCTCCAATAGGGTCCACTTCCACCAAAGCCAAAATATTTGCGCCATACGCGGACACTAAGTCGCTGTGAGTGGAAAAACAAAGGTCAATTATAATCTATTAGAATAATTATTACACAAACCTTACTGGGACTTAACACTAATAAGAAGTACGACGGGTGATTGTCTCATATGTTAGAAACAGTGTAATACAACAAGGTGGTCCTAGTTTATTAACATATGAAGCGATAGTACAATGAACAAAGACTGTCTTCGTAGAATCAGTGGAGAAAAATGTGAAAATATTCAAATAACTATGCATATGAATCATTGGAAGATAGCGGTATTGTTGATACAACGGTTTATGATACTCTTTCAAATACGATAAACCATCCTTAAATATCGTGGATAATGCTCCATCGAAGCCATAAGTAAACAACTGCGTAGTTGATACAAATGAAAAACAATCATTCAATTGGGTTACGCGACCAACAAAGGTTTCTCAAACGTACGGCCCCGGTGTTCCTTGAAGAAACACTCCGGAAAAAAACAATACATTTCATATCTTTAGCGATCTACCGCGAGTTTCTTTTTTGGTTTCTTTCAAAAAGAATGATACGCACTCTTTGGAGAAAGCATTGAGACTACTCCAGTTTTGGAAGATTGTGGCTTTAAATCCGGGTGGTGGGAAGCATTGTTCACTACTCACTTTCGCCCGAATGTGATGCTATTGCAATGAGAATGTGAACAAGTTTTTGCGAGGAGCTTCCGCTGGAACGAAGGCACAATTCGGCATGTAGTAAAAACTCTTATTGAAAAATGACTGTGTCCGTCGAGGAATGGCGCCGTAAATTCAAATAGTTTCAGTGAAAAAAGTTGAAGCAGACTGAAAAGCTAGACTTATCAATCGAGGAATGTATTGTGTGAACTAAATAGCGCAGGATGAGATAACCAAATCGAACAGTTCGGTCGAATGAATGTTAGGTAAAAGGTACCAATACAGCCAATCGTGAATCACTCAGTGGTGGCGTTTTGCCTTAGAAGGAAAAGGCTGTATTCAAAATACCAACATTTACTTTACATGGTGCTATAAACTCCCACTGGTAGGTAAGCACCCGAAAAAGGGAATTGAAAAATCGATGGAGCAAATCTGTTATTCTATTACGGGCAAGCTTTGATACCCGAACAGCGCGGATTCCTGGTTTTCATTATCGACTGTATTGACCGTAACTATCTAGGACTGCTAGAACCCGTGACTGTCAAAGTACTTATTTCAATTAAACGGTGGAATTTATGAACTAACTTGAAACATAAACACCTGATGTTGACTGCGCTTACGACACGGTAGCTTCCATCACGTGTATAATATAACCAGCACTAAAATCGGAAGTAGAACCCTTCGGATATAGAAAAATCACATAAGAACGTAACGCAGCATTGGGAGGAGACTCACCCTATCAGGCCACATGAAGCTGAAACCAACTCATCCGTCGTGATTGAATCCGAACCGACGTGTGCAATGAAAGACAAGATGTGAGGCACATGTCCCGCGACAAAGTTCAACGCATCAGTGGATTCTAAAAAATGAATATTCCCTTGGAATTAAATGGGAGTTAGTTGACTGATGTACAACGTCATATATATATATAAGTTTTTAGTCACTGACAATGATCGGATAGTGAATGACAGTCACCATTGGAATACCGAGTAAAACGAATTGCAAACTTACGTGGACCGTCACTTTTCAAACCCTGCACGATGCCGGTGTATGCCTCCAAACAGCTGGTACGAAGTGAATTGAGATATTCAACCATATCCGGATCCGCCTACAATGACCAACGGAAAGCGGTTGGGACAAATATGAATAAAGCAAGAATGCACACCTCTGTATCCACCAATTTCATGTCACTTTCCAGACCACAGACATACAAAGACTAAAACTTCAAAAAACCTTGATACCTAGAGGCTGGTAATTAACCGGAATTTAGTTAATTCAGATAGTAGTGAATAGAGAAACTTCCCGCTAGCGAAGCCATTCATTCCGTGCAAACTATTATGGGTGGATTTGCTATCGTGATGACAGTGAGCATTTTAAGGAAAGACAGTACCCGAAACTGACCCAAAGTTTAGACAATCCGAAGCTTCTACAAAACACATCATGTTCAACCCGTATTAGGTCACTTCTTGAACGATTCATGGAGTGCTGATGTTTACCGAAGTGCACGAACGTTTGATTAGTCAAACAGTGGACGGTGTCGGTAAGATGGTTTTGAACGTTGAGGATCAATGTAATCAGGATTCACACAAGTTTCTTCACATTAGCTTGAGCATAAATAGATGTAGGTTGAAAAAATATGCTCAAATTTGGTATCGATAGTTGTTAGCACCTACTTCCAAGTCTCGACAAGAGCAGAGCTATATGCTACCGAGCGTGTCCCCAGGTCGCGGATAGGAGAATCGCCGCTAACTCGCGGTTAACTGTGAAAAAGATGGGTTTATTCCTACAGAATAAGCGGTCGCGGACGATCAGCGGCAGTGCACGAGGACGTGGCGGTGTACCACTTGGTAAGAGTTCTTAAGACAGTGCTGTGACGTGGCGCGTGTCCCGCCACTGAAAACGGCCAGTGCCCCTTGTCGAATTCCATCTACCCGACAAGGTCTTTTAGATAAGGAGAATGAACCAACCGACTGGTCACTGGCCTATATGGAACACTATTGCCGCCTTTTATCTCGCCCTTGGATGCGCAATGGCTAGAGTGCACCCTCGAACAAGGCCTACTCTGGACTGGGCGAGTAGTACAACAGCCCACAATGTAAGCAAAAATGAACCTCAGCTTAAGCAATGTCATTCTTTCAGTCTTCCTCTCTCATAAAAAACGCTTTACACCGTGCACATCTTCCTATTTTCCAGTTTTTCCTCCACCTCACATTCACCCACCCACCCCCCTTAAACATTCTCATTGTCATCAGGATCTTCAGACAATCGTACTACCAGTTGTGGCTCCGATGGAAATTCCGAAGCTATTCTCTCGTGTCCCGCCTCGAATAGCGTCCAAGTCTCACCAAATCCTCCTCCACCAGTTGAAGCCTTTCTTCGTCTTTGATGCCTGTTTAAGCTGGACACATTCAACGTGCGTACCGTGTTGCGTATAGGACAACAGACATGTTTAGCTCACACCCCCGATACCCTAGCCATCGATGTGTGTTGTATCCAAGAAACTCGCATTCAAGACTCTAGCTCCACTATCCGATTGACGTCTCCGTCTAACCCATCAGCGAAATTTCACTTAAACGTATCTCGCTGTACGATGACGATGATCAGTTAATTGCATGACAAATGACGGTAGCGTAGTCAAGGAAGTAATCGCCTGCATTTCCATGGCTGGAGCAGCATACGCAAGTGATAATTCGTTGCAACTCAAACGTGGCGCACATCAGGCCAGTGTGTGGTCAATCCCGCCTTACGGCTGCGAGACCCTAAATTTGCGCCTAGAAGTCACCGAGTGCCGATGTTTACGTAGTTCGGTCCGGGTTGGATGGAGCAAGCATACAAGCAACTCTGAGGTAAGCCGTCGCGTATTTTGTAATGGTTCGGTGGAAAATTAGCCAAGAAAAGGAATTCATAACAATAGGCTTCGCTGGTCAAGATCAAATCCGCTCGATGCTAAAATACAACAATCACGTACGGCTTGCAGCTTCGTACTGTCTGCTCTTTGTCTTAACCGTATTCAACTTAAGCTATCCGACCATCAGGCTGATCAAAGAAACGCAATCGACTTCCAGTTCACAGCCGCTTTCCCATAACCAGACAGTTGCTTTGTTATCTCCTTTCTACCGTTACCATGTTGGCTTCTGCCCTTTTGAGCTCGCCTCATTGCCCTCCCCCTTCACCTTTTCTCGTCTATCCCGTTCTCAGGCAGCCCACCTTATCAAGTTTTTATCCCCAGAAGTCGGATCTCTATCTTCCCGGGGACTGTAAAATTGTGGAACATCCTTCACATTTCTGTACACATACGCTCTCCGCTGCAGCATGTCACTGACTATAGGATTTACCACGTTTGCTGTAAATCACTTTGTGTAACGAAATAGATTCAAACAAGAGTTTTCAGTTAAATGAAGGAAGTAGCACTCATTCGTTTGACCTATATATTTGAATAAGAAGGTACAATGCTTGATGAGACGCCACTCGGTGATGCCGCTCCTCGGTGTTCAAATGATCGTTTCAGTCTGGGATGTTGGACAAATGGAAGCTTGCGTTTAAAAGAAAAACAAACTTATTTACCTTAGCTTCCTGTTATGATATATTACCGTATAACTCTCCGCATAGTTCGTTATGGGGTTTTATATATATATATATGCTCCAGTGGGTGACAACGGCTACCTAAAACTATGGACCCAACTGAAGCATTCCTTGTCCGATTCTCCCATCAAACTCGTGTGATGCGGAGGAGACGGTGATGTTCGCACATTGACAGGTTATCTTTTGCCTGCTTCCGCAGTGGTAACGTTTGCGCGCAGTACAGCATCGCACACAGACAGCCAGATGTCACCACGGCAACTGGGTTTTTGTCATTGTCACCAATATCAATATTATACCGGGCGGTGGTAACCCGATGGTGACGTCACCAAATTATCACCACCACCACCTGTCTTTCACCATAGTGTGCTGCATGACAGCCCTTTGTTTGTCCGCTTCCCTCGCATCATTGTGAATTTAATAAACGAAAATAAAAATGAAAAAAACATTATGTGAAAAAGAGGACTTTGAGGTGATAAACTAGAAAATACTTAGATCAGTGGATTTATTGCCACTTTTAAAATTCGCTAAGCCGTCAATTAGCGTTTATTTGCTCCATTTCTTCAAAACTTATACTGAGTACCCCCCGGGGTGACCAACAGTTAGCTTGAAGCTTCATTGATGCGCAAGTATCTTTTCTATTTGGATCTTGACCAGCGATACAGTGCGCCATCAAAACCAATGAAGTTAAAAGCATCCTTCACTAAACCTGGCTATGCAGCTCTTTGATGCCAAAACAAAAAACACCAAAATAACCATGATTATGAATGCTATGTTATTGTTATTTTATGAATGTTATCTATAAAGTACGTCACCTTGACTATGATGTTTACCCCTTCTATCTCTCGTGATACAATTTTGGATATTAAGAAATGCTAATACCTCACTAAACAAATCGATTTGGACAGCAAGGGAAACTCACCAAGTTGACTTCGGCTCGTGTTGCTTGGTGGAGAGTCTCCATAACCACAGGGAGATATGTGAAGAACTCTGACCCCAGCGCTAGAGATAAGTCGCCGAAGGTTGATATGATGCACGGTCGAAGAGATTTATTTGCATTGACGCTCTGAAAAGAGGTGCAGTTAACAGAACTCATTAGTATTATAGATAATGAAAACAACCTGAAACCAAAATTGAAACGTGAATCAATCGTACCAAACATTGACTTTCATTGGCAGCAAAACGCCGGATCAATAGCCAGCTTGTACAGTTAGTACACTTTGTAAGCATTTTTAAACAGATTCGAAAGTTCAGTTCAATTCCGAAATGTC